GTAACCCTAGGTATAGATTGGTCTGTAGAGGATTTTAGTTAGTTGTAACCCTAGGTATGGGTTGTCTGTAGAGGATCTAAGTTAGTTGTAACCCTAGATAGGGATTGTCTGTAGATGATCTAAGTTGAAACCCTAGGTATGGATTGGTCTGTAGAGGATCTTAAGTTATAATCCTAGGTATGGGTTGTCTGTAAAGTATCTAAGTTGTAACCCTAGGTATGGGTTGTCTGTAGATGATCTAAGTTAGCTGTAACCCTAGGTATGGGTTGTCTGTAGATGATCTAAGTTAGTTGTTACCCTAGGTAGGGATTGTCTGTAGAGTATCTAAGTTGTAACCCTAGGTAGGGATTGTCTGTAGATGATCTAAGTCGTAACCCTAGGTATGGGTTGTCTTTAGATGATCTAAGTTAGCTGTAACCCTAGGTATGTGTTGTCTGTAGATGATCTAAGTCGTAACCCTAGGTATGGGTTGTCTGTAAAGTATCTAAGTTGTAACCCTAGGTATTGCTTGGTCTGTATCTAAGTTGTACCCCTAGGTATGGATTGGTCTGTTGATGATCTAAGTTGTAACCCTGGGTATGGATTGGTCTGTAGATGATCTTAGTTGTAACCCTAGGTATGGACTGGTCTGTAGATGATCTAAGTTGTAACCCTAGGTATGGATTGGTCTGTAGAGGATCTAAGTTAGTTGTTACCCTAGGTAGGGATTGTCTGTAGATGATCTAAGTTGTAACCCTAGGTATGGGTTGTCTGTAGATGATCTAAGTTAGTTGTTACCCTAGGTATGGATTGGTCTGTATCTAAGTTGTAACCCTAGGTATGGGTTGTCTGTAGATGATCTAAGTTAGTTGTAACCCTAGGTTTGGGTTGTCTGTAGATGATCTAAGTTAGTTGTACCCCTAGGTAGGGATTGTCTGTAGGTGATCTAAGTTGTAACCCTAGGTATGGGTTGTCTGTAGATGATCTAAGTTAGTTGTTCCCCTAGGTAGGGATTGTCTGTAGAGTATCTAAGTTGTAACCCTAGATAGAGATTGTCTGTAGATGATCTAAGTTAGTTGTTACCCTAGGTAGGGATTGTCTGTAGATGATCTAAGTTAGTTGTAACCCTAGGTATGGATTGTCTGTAGATGATCTAAGTTGTAACCCTAGGTAGGGATTGTATGTAGATGATCTAAGTTGTAACCCTAGGTAGGGATTGTCTTAGATGATCTAAGTTAGTTGTAACCCCAGGTATGGGTTGTCTGTAGAGTATTTTAGTTATCTGTAAACCTAGGTAGGTATTGTCTGTATCTAAGTTGTAACCCTAGGTAGGGATTGTCTGTATCTAAGTTGTGTCCAGGACGCTGACAGGAGTTTGCTTTTTCTTCTTTATGCAAAGAGTGTAACATTTTTTGGCATTAAAGTTCATCCCCAGTCAACCCGTACAAATATGAAGTTTATCCGTACCAAGTATATTTTAACTACCAAAGAATTTCTATCTGTACCATACATATTCCTCATAAATTTGTGCCGAATATATGTCAAATGCATATTGTTTCTCATAACATTATCGGTTAAGGGGAGGTAACTCATAGTAAACATGACAAGCAATGTTTGTATACAGTTATAATCAATAATGAGGGTGTCCTGTCTTTGTATCTTAACCATCACCATGTCCAACAGTCACAAGATAGACATCTCTAGATAGGCCTAACAACAAATGGTAACAACGATAAAACTACACCTCTATATTAGTCCAGTTCATTTTAATAAACTCAACAAAACTGCAACATAATAATTGTTTTATGCCCATAATATGGTGTCTTTGAAAAACAATTAATGAAATTGAAAAACAATGTTTATAAGTTGACTGGTATATGTTTATATACTCTATATAAAAGTAACAAAAACTCAAAATGGTTCCAATTCAGTGTCAATCACTACATTTAAATGCAAATTCTTATAACGATATATAAACTTCAAGTCAGTATCATTGACTCAATAGTCCAGATGATATCTGAGAAACAAAGAATATCTTTATAAAAACAAAATTCTGTAAACAATAGGTTTCAAGTTTTTGACAAATTTTTTAAATGCATGTTTGTTTTTAAAATTGACATAAATTGTGAAATTTAAAAAAAATCCTGTTACACTAGATCAAAAAGATATTTGAAAGTTGTTTTTGTACTTATCAAATTGAATAACTTTCTCCATGTTTCTCCATTATTCTGCAGACCACCTTCTGGTGACAAGCCTGGCATTGAAAATGTTGTAACAGATGCAACAATAAAAGCTTTACAGGAGGTCAGTAAAGTATAGCCTATGTCCGTAATTACAATATTTATAAATGTGTTTATGTTTGTAATTACAGTATATATAAATGTGTATATGTCAGTAATTAGAGTATTTATAAATGTGTATATGTTTGTAATTAGAGTATATATAAATGTGTATATGTTTGTAATTACAGTATATATAAATGTGTATATGTTAATAATTACAGTATATATAAATGTGTATATGTCAGTAATTAGAGTATATATAAATGTGTATATGTTTGTAATTACAGTATATATAAATGTGTATATGTTTGTAATTAGAGTATATATAAATGTGTATTTGTTTGTAATTACAGTATATATAAATGTGTATATGTCAATAATTACAGTATATATAAATGTGTATATGTCAGAATTTACAGTATTTATAAATGTGTATATGTCAGTATTTACAGTATATATAAATGTGTATATGTCAGTAATTACAGTATNTATAAATGTGTATATGTCAGTAATTACAGTATTTATAAATGTGTATATGTCAGTATTTACAGTATATATAAATGTGTATATGTCAGTATTACAGTATATATAAATGTGTATATGTCAGTAATTACAGTATTTATAAATGTGTATTTGTTTGTAATTACAGTATATATAAATGTGTATATGTCAGTAATTACAGTATATATAAATGTGTATATGTCAGTATTTACAGCATATATAAATGTGTATATGTCAGTAATTACGGTATTTATAAATGTGTATCTATATGACAGTTATTACAGTGTATATATATAATGTGTATATGACAGTTATTACGGTATTTATAAATGTGTATATGTCAGTTATTACAGTATACAGTCGAACCTCGTTATCTCGAACTCTTTTAACTCGAAGACCCCGTTTATCTCGAAGTATTTCTCCGGTCCCGGCCAAATCTGTTCTTTATCTTAGTAAATAAAACTCTGATAATTCGATCCCTTAAAAGTCGAAAAAGTCGAAAAACTCGGATACCTCGAAGTAATATATTGGTTTCAATAGCGTTAATCCAACATAGTATCCAAATTTCATTTTGTCACTTGTTAATTCTTTAATACAAATAAATTGCAAAAGTACGACATTTCGCCATTCCGTGTTTATGAACATCTTTCGTAAGTAGACTAGCATGAAATCAGTGAAAAAGAATCTACGATAAAGCTTAGGACTGTAAAGTTTACGGACTGTCAAAACCAGGTTATTCATAATAAAAAACAAACTGCATCAATGTTGATCAACAGTAATCTGTACTTACTGCGTGTCCGTTTAATGATTTGTACACCTAAACAGACGACAGAGCAAACCAGAAAATTGGTCACAAAGCGTGGTCATGCATAAAAGAGTTCAACAGTTAAAATCACAACCTAGGACAGCTTTACGGGTTCATGTTTTTACAGGAGCCAGTATGGCTTTAAAAGTCGATCGAGAGAATTAAGAACAAAACGATAATTGCTGTTGATTACATCGAGTTGAGGAGGTGTCAGGTGTCATATTTGGCTTTAATGAATCAATGTGTTACATGTACGATATAATTTGTTTGTGTATGTTTTCATTTACAGAATCAACTATGCGTACGCTCCATTACAGTGATTTGTTTTAGACTTGCGCACTTTCATTGCCGCATTGTAAACTACGAGATCAGAGACAGCGGGATAGTTCAGTTTGAAATGTAACACTTCAGAAGTAAAACTTGACGGACTTACAAATACAAATGCAAACCTTGAAAGATTTGCCAAGATCTATACTAGCCAAAAACAACATTTAATCACTAGGCCCGTCCATATTTAATAACGAATTCACAAAATGGTCCAGCCGTTTTGATCGCGTTTAAACCAAATCTATGAACCCGCATAACTCGAATACTCGGATAACTCGAAGTTTTCCCAAGACCCCGTCGACTTCGAGATAACGAGGTTTGACTGCATATAAATGTGTACATTTCAATATTTACAGTATTTATAAATGTGTACATTTCAATATTTACAGTATTTATAAATGTGTACATTTCCATAATTACAGTATTTATAAATGTGTACATTTCCATAATTACAGTATATATAAATGTGTATATGTCAGTAATTACAGTATATATATAAATGTGTATATGTCAGTATTTACAGTATTTATAAATGTGTATATTTCCATATTTACAGTATATATGTATATATAAATGTGTATATTTCCATAATTACAGTATTTATAAATGTGTACATATCCATATTTACAGTATTTATCAATGTATATATTTCCATAATTACAGTATTTATAAATGTGTATATGTCAGTATTTACAGTATTTATAAATGTGAACATTTCCATATTTACAGTATATATATATATATAAATGTGTATATTTCCATAGTTACAGTTTTTATAATTGTGTATATGTCAGTATTTACAGTATTTATCAATGTGTACATTTCCATATTTACAGTATTTATAAATGTGTACATTTCCATATTTACAGTATTAATAAATGTGTATATTTCCATAATTACAGTATTTATAAATGTGTACATATCCATAATTACAGTATTTATAAATGTGTATATATCCATATTTACAATATTTATAAATGTGTACATGTGTATATTTCCATATTTACAGTATTTATAAATGTGTACATTTCCATATTTACAGTAATTATCAATGTGTACATATAAATGTGTACATTTCCATATTAACAGTACATATAAATGTGTACATTTCCATATTTACAGTATTTATAAATGTGTACATTTCCATATTTACAGTATTTATAAATGTGTATATTTCCATATTTACAGTATTTATAAATGTGTACATTTCCATATTTCCAATATTTATAAATGTGTATATTTTCCTGTAACCTGAGTGTGGTCGTGTTGGATACCTGTAACCTGAGTGGGGTCATGTTGGATACCTGTAAACTGAGTGTGGTCATATTTGATACCTGTAAACTGAGTGTGGTTGTGTTAGATACCTGTGAACTGAGTGTGGTCATGTTGGATACCTGTAAACTGAGCGTGGTGGTGCTGGATACCTGTAAACCGAGTAAGGTCGTGTTGGATACCTGTAACCTGAGTGTGATCGTGTTGGATACCTGTAATCTGAGTGTGGTCATGTTGGATACCTGTTAACTGAGTGTGGTCGTGTTGGATACCTGGAAACTGAGCGTGGTGGTGCTGGATACCTGTAATCCAAGTAAGGTTGTGTTGGATACCTGTAACCTGAGTGTGGTCATGTTGGATACCTGTAAACTGAGTGTTGTCATGTTGGATACCTGTAAACTGAGTGTGGTCATGTTGGAAACCTGTTAACTGAGTGTGGTCATATTTGATACCTGTAAACTGAGTGTGGTTGCGTTGGATACCTGTGAACTGAGTGTGGTCATGTTGGATACCTGTAACCTGAGTGTGGTCGTGTTGGATACCTGTAACATGAGTGTTGTCATGTTGGATACCTGTGAACTGAGTGTGGTCATGTTGGATACCTGTAACCTGAGTGTGATCGTGTTGGATACCTGTAATCAGAGGGTGGTCATGTTGGATACCTGTTAACTGAGTGTGGTCATGTTGGATACCTGTAACCTGAGTGTGATCGTGTTGGATACCTGTAATCAGAGGGTGGTCATGTTGGATACCTGTTAACTGAGTGTGGTCATGTTGGATACCTGTAAACTGAGTGTGGTCATGTTGGATACCTGTTAACTGAGTGTGGTCATATTTGATACCTGTAAACTGAGTGTGGTTGTGTTGGATACCTGTGAACTGAGTGTGGTCATGTTGCATACCTGTAACCTGAGTGTGGTCATGTTGTATACCTGTAAACTGAGTGTGGTTATGTTGGATACCTGTAACCTGAGCGAGGGCATGCTGGATACCTGTAAACTGAGTGTGGTTGTGTTTGATACCTGTGAACTGAGTGTGGTAATGTTGGATACCTGTAACCTGAGCGTGGTCATGTTGGATACCTGTTAACTGAGTGTGGTCGTGTTGGATGCCTGTAACCTGAGTGTGGTCATGTTGGATACCTGTAAACTGAGTGTGGTCATGTTGTATACCTGTAACCTGCCTAAGTGTTCTACACACTGGGCAATATGTGTCAGGTGTATGTGGGGGGAAAGAAAATTATCATAATTTTGGTGTCATTTATTACAATATAAGTGGAGGTTTTTAGGAATTCTTCCCATAAATGTATAGCAGGTCTACTTGCACATGAGATAAAGATTATAATGTTTACTTTAATCTTCCTGTGTTGGTTTATTTAAAGTTTGATACTGGTGAAATGGAACAGACAGGTGAGCCTCCTGCAGCTAAAGAAACAGAAGAAGGAGACCGCCCGGTTTCTGCCAAGTCAGGCTCACGTCCGATGTCAGCAAGACCAGGTCTGTGTGAATTCAGTTAACAGTTTTATTTAGGAGACGTCATTGTGTACATAAGTGACAATATTTACATTTGCATGGCATTGTCACTATATATATAGTCTCTTTGAAAGCTGTGTCGTTGATGGGACTTTAATTACCATGCAGCACGAGACACAATTCTTAGCGTATTAATACAACACTGACCGGAACTACAATATCCAATGTAAATAAACATGACGGCTGCTGAAATATCGCTCGGCATTGTGAGACTTGACAATGTAATTGTCAATTCATATGCAAAAGAAAAAAGAAAAGAAAAAAAATATGCTTTTATTACAACAAAAACAAGACCAAGGTCAAACGGAAACCGTCGACACTTTCTGCAATATATTGTACTAAATGCACATCGGTTGAAATCACCAATGCCGGCAATGGAAACAACGCTATCAGTTTCACTCATCTCGCAGCCACGGTTTCCTCGTTTTCTGACGACATGTCAAATAACGAGGCTGTTTAGAATCTACCGACTGTAGTCAGATTCCAATACAATCAACAAATAAATTCACGTCTGGATTCTTCACAAATTGGAACTTTTCTCTTTGCTCATTTAACTTCTTAAAATAACTCCCTCGTGGAGGGCAAGGTCGGATTTACGGTGTTCACTGTATTTATCCATGTGCGAAATTTGTTCTGGGGAAAAGTAGAAACAATTTCAAATTTAACTTTCAGCTCAGAGTTCTATTGATAAACTTAATTCACTCTATAGACATATCATACGCAATTGTATTGATACTGAATAGTGGAATAAAATTGAAGTGTTTGTTAAAATTTCAAAGTACTACTTTGTTTGCCAATCAGCACGCAACAACACGCTGTTACAACTATTGAACGAATTTGTGTGGACTGTCGATAAGGCGGGAATTTTAAGTTTTAAATATAAATTGTAAATTAAAAAAGAACATAAGAGGCAGAGAAAACGTAAATATAAGTATTGAACTGTTTGTGTATGGTATTTATGATCTATTTGAATGACACAGCTTTAATTTGCAAGCAAACAACATAATGCGCGCTATTTGTCATTCAAATGATCTATAAATACCATACACAAACAGTTCAATGCTTAATTAACTTAAAACAGAAACATTCTGTACTGTTTATCACAGAAACATTCTACCAGTATATTGTTTATCGTGAAACATACTATTTTGTTTATCACAGAAATATTCTATATTGTTAACACAGAAACATTCTATATTGTTTATCACAGAAACATTCTATATTGTTTATCACAGAAACATTCTATATTATTTATCACAGAAACATTCTGTACTGTTTATCACAGAAACATTCTATATTGTTTATCACAGAAATATTCTATATTGTTTATCACAGAAACATTCTATATTGTTTTTCACAGAAACATTCTATTTTGTTTATCACAGAAACATTCTATATTGTTTATCACAGAAACATTCTATATTGTTTATCACAAAAACATTCTAAGCTGTTTACCACAGAAACATTCTATATAGTTTAATGGAAACAATGTAATTAAGGATTTTCAAACAATTTCATCAGGATTTACCGAGTAAGAGAAGGAAAAGAACAACATTCTTGTCCATTATTTTATCAGTATATCATTTTTATAGGATCAAAATCTGGGTCACGCCCAACATCGGCCAAGCCTGCCTCCCCAGCAGGAAGTGGGAGGGCTTCAGTCACTGGAGACAGACCACCTTCAGCATCACGTCCTGCTTCTGGACACAAAGCCCCTTCTCAGACAGGCAGCCGCCCTACCTCCGCAGCAAAGCAGGAAGGGTCAAGGCCAACCAGTGCCAAATCTAGATCAAAACCAACTAGTGCTAAATGTATGCATTTCTACATCAGCAGATTAAATTACTTACATCCTGAATCAACGTTATATTCCAATCACTTTTATCTGAGTTTATTGAAATTATTCTCATATGTGAATGCTATTTGATCAAATGTTTGCTGTTTTGTGGATGTCACTAAAGAACATAGACATACCCATTGTTTATATAGGTGTAGATTTGGATATAGGATTGTTTATTGTAATCAAATGGGATGCAAAGAGCATCTAGTAGAATTCTTAGACTATCTAGTAAATTCTGGACTTCTTGATATTTCCCACAGGACATGTATAATAGTTTCATTTTCAGAGTTACATAGAGTACAGAGAGAAGAAATAACTAGATGTGTTTTAAAGAGAAAAGAGTTTGTGGTTAAAATATGGTGATTAACTGTACGGAAACCATTGGAGTTTGGTGTTTTTAGGTCACCTGAGCTTTAGCTCAAGTGACCTATTGCCATATATCCGTCTTTGTCCGTCGTCCGTCGTTCGTTAACATTTTACATTTTCAACTTTAGCTGAAATTCTGGCAAAGGGATTTCATTAATATTTCATGGGAAGGTTACTGACATCTCCCTGACAAAGTGTTGTTATTTTTCACGTCAATCAGAAATCCAATATGGCCGGCACGGCCGCCATTTTGAAAAACTATTTCAAACTTAAAGTCAAGTTTTGCTTGGCCGATTAAACTGAAACTTGTGAGGAATGAATGACTCATGGTCCTGACAAAGTGTGTTATTTTTCGCGTCAATCAGAAATCCAACATGGCCGCCAAGGACGCCATTTTGAAAAACTATTTCCCACTAAAAGTCAAGTTCTGCTTGGCCGATTGAACTGAAAGTTGGTAGGAATGATCGCCTTATGGTCCTGACAAAGTGTTTTTATTTTTCGGGTCGATCAGAAATCCAATATGGCCGCCACGGCCGCCATTTTGAAAAACCATTTCAAACTTAAAGTCAAGTTTTGATTGGCCGATTAAACTGAAACTTGTTAGGAATGAATGACTCATGGTCCTGACAAAGTGTTGCTATTTTTCGGGTCAATCAGAAATCCAATATGGCCACCACCGCCGCCATTTGGAAAAACTATTTCAAACTTAAAGTCATGTTCTACTTCGCCGATTGAACTGATCTTTGTAGGAATGATCGACTCATGATCCTGACAAAGTTTTGTTATTTTTTCGGGTCGATCAGAAATATAATTTGGCTGCCATGGTCACTTTTTTGAAAATACCTATTTCAAACTTAAAAACAAGTTCTAATAGGCCGATCTAACTGAAAATCGGTCTAGGAATGATCAGCTCATGGTCCTGACAAACTTAAGATAATTATATACAGAACAATTTTTTACTCAAATTGATACATATTTCAACAACAAAAATAAATACTGTAGGACTCAGGGGACCGTTAAGGCCCATGGGCCTCTTGTTTGTAATACTGAAGGGAATATTGTATATTCGAGCCTATGTTGAATCATTCAAGTCGAAGACTTTGTTCCACTTCTTGTAAACTGTTGGTACAGTATTATTTTTTAGGGCTTTTCACCAACTGGTGAAAAGACCTATTATTTTTGTTAAGTTTCTTATTAGGGCTTTTCACCAACTGGTGAAAAGACCTATTGTTTTTGTTATGTTTCTTATTCTTATTATTATTCTTCCGAACTTGTGAACTCTGTTTCTTTTGATTGGTAAAAGATAGGTTTATAGTCTTTCAGGTATGTTGTAGGAAAAGGTCTTAAGCTGATCAAGCAATATTTTCAAGTAGGTCAAAAATTAAATATGGCCGCCATGACGTCATAGGTCAAAATCTTAAAATGGCCATAACTCAAAAACGGTTTAATTTACAGAATTGACGCAATTATATTATATGTAGGTAATCTTCGGGGCTAATTTTAATTACCACATGTTATTTCATTTAAAGGTCAAATAAAAAAGCTCGCTGTTGGGTCAAAGGTCACAATTTTTAAAAAACATTCATTTTTGATTGTTTTTGAAAAATAAAATCTTTAAAACCGCTATAACTTGAAAACCGTTGATTGTAGAGAATTTGTGAAAGTAAATTATTTGTAGATAATTTCCATATCTAACTTTTTCTCACTACATGTTAAAACAAAATATTTCAAATTAAAAAGTGCGCCCCTGGGTCGAAGTTCACCAATTTTTTTAAAAACATTCATTTTTATTTTTTTTTATGAAAAGTTCTTCAATAGATTGATGAAGAATATCATTCCGATGAATTCGATGTCTTTAGTTTTTCTGTAACATTTACCGTTAACGTTGTACGCCATTTTGAATATTTCCTTTGATATTTTAAAATGCTGACAATATGTTAAAACTTCAACGATCTTCTTTTCCAATTCTGCCATTGCAATATTAACCACAATTAATACATGTATTCCTCTAGGGGCCCTTACGACCTTATGTTACTTTTTGGAGCCATTAATATTCCAAGATGGCCGCCACAAACTCTGATTGGTTAACAGCCTATACCAATATATTTTGTTAACGATATCAAACACGAGGTTGATCTTTGGATATCATATAGAGATAGTCAAGGGCAAACTTTTTCTTTCATACTGTTTTAAAAAAAAATGTCAACTTCCGGTTTCCGGCAGGGGTCAAAGTTAAAAGGCACTATATTGGGTACCAACCTTAAAAATCTTCTTAAGTTCAACAAGGTCTAGAGGCCTGATATTCTGAGATGTCGGGGTATCAGGTTTGAAAAAATGGTTGACATTGATCAACTATCAAGGTCACAATCAAGGTCAATAACTTCATTTGTGCTATTTCAAGATAATGACTTCAAAAAACTTCTTCTAAAGTTCTACAAGGCCTAGAGTCCTACTATTTGATACATTAACATGGTCAGATGATTGACTATCAAGTTTGAAAAAATGATTGACCTTTGACTTTCAAGGTCACAGAGGTCATGTGTAAAAATATTGAAACCACTTTTTCTGAATAACCAATAACTCCGGGGTAACGATGTTTGGCAAAGAAGCATGCTTGAATGAAGGGCTTTAAAGTGTGTGCAAATGAATGACCTTGACCTACTCTAAATATATTTTCAAAATTGAAAGTCAAAAACCGTTTTCATTTTTGTGCGATTGTGAAGTACTTTCAGTACTCTCAGTACTTTGATTTATATCAAGACATCGAATACACGCTGGTTATACTACATCGATTACTACGCACTCTCAATCTTAAAAGTAGGGACAGTTTACATCTCTACTGCGGTGGGTAAACATCAGACTTTCTTTGGCATGGCAAACACAACTGATATAGACAAAAACCTATTTCAATTCACCATCCTCACGTACATAGTGGACGGACTATATGACGACATCTACGGACTACATTCGTATACAACTCCGTTCTTTCTCAGCTGATGTCATTTCGCACTCCGGGAATCCCCCACTACTCAGTCAGCTACTGTAGACTTGCACAGGTTATTATTGGAAGGCCAAATCAGTCCTTACAGTGAAAAGCCCGTCAAATTGTTAGCCAACAATTTCTAGTTATAAAAATATTATAGAAATCTTTCGAGCCTTTTCTGCTTTTCAGGAATAATTCAATGTTCATTGGTATAAGGGGATATGGAAGTTTTAGTTTAGGGATTTCATTTGAAGATATAAACTTTCTCACTGCTGACAAAATGCTATGATACTGGAGGAAATTTGTTTTTACCTGATATGTGTGAATAATTTCCTGGAAACTGAAATCTTCCAATATTCTGAACTATTATCAAGTCATTTATATATAGTTATAATATTTTTGCCATAAAAATTCTTAAAAAATACTGATTTCTGACCAACAACTATATTTCTGTTAAACCATAATGGTGTTTTTAATATAGAATCCTTCATAAGACTATATTTTTCAATTAATAAATTCAAATGGTACCAAGCTTTGAAAACATCAACCCAGAAAGTATTTCTACACTCTTTTAGACATTTTTGCACAAAATCATTGCCACAGTTAGCTAGTAGATCTATGTTAACGTAACTTGTTTAAATAACTTGCCATTTAGCTGTGGTCTGAAAAAGCCTTCTGATCCAAGATAATTTTAATGAATCTATAAATGCTTTTAAATTAATCATTTTTAATCCACCGTTAACATTTTCTTGGATAATGACTTCTCTTAAGACTTTGTCTGTTTTGCTGTTCCACAAAAATTCAAAAAGGATAGAAATAAGTTTTGGAAAAAAATATTCATCAGGATTTGGCGGTGCTATAAATAGATGGTTGAATTGTGAAATGAGAAGTGATATAATATACTGGTACACTAGACTGATATAATATACTGGTACTCTAGACTGATATAATATACTGGTACTCTTGACTGATATAATATACTGGTACTCTTGACTGCTATAATATACTGGTACTCTAAACTGGTACTCTAGACTGCTATAATAGACTGGTAAACTAGACTGGTATAATATACTGGACACTAGACTGGTACACTAGACTGGTACTCTAGACTGGTATAATATACTGGTACTCTAGACTGCTTTAATATTCTGGTACTCTAGACTGCTATAATATAATGGTACTCTAGACTGGTATAATATACTGGTACTCTAGACTGGTATAATATACTGGTACTCTAGACTGGTATAATATACTGGTACTCTAGACTGGTATAATATACTGGTACTCTAGACTGGTATAATATACTGGTACTCTAGACTGGTATAATATACTGGTACTCTAGACTGGTATAATATACTGGTACTCTAGACTGGTATAATATACTGGTACTCTAGACTGGTATAATATACTGGTACTCTAGACTGGTATAATATACTGGTACTCTAGACTGGTATAATATACTGGTACTCTAGACTGGTATAATATACTGGTACTCTAGACTGGTATAATATACTGGTACTCTAGACTGGTATAATATACTGGTACTCTAGACTGGTATAATATACTGGTACTCTAGACTGGTATAATATACTGGTACTCTAGACTGGTATAATATACTGGTACTCTAGACTGGTATAATATACTGGTACTCTAGACTGGTATAATATACTGGTACTCTAGACTGGTATAATATACTGGTACTCTAGACTGGTATAATATACTGGTACTCTAGACTGGTATAATATACTGGTACTCTAGACTGGTATAATATACTGGTACTCTAGACTGGTATAATATACTGGTACTCTAGACTGGTATAATATACTGGTACTCTAGACTGGTATAATATACTGGTACTCTAGACTGGTATAATATACTGGTACTCTAGACTGGTATAATATACTGGTACTCTAGACTGGTATAATATACTGGTACTCTAGACTGCTATAATATACTGGTACTCTATACTGCTATAATATACTGGTACTCTAGACTGCTATAATATACTGGTACTCTAGACTGCTATAATATACTGGTACTCTATACTGCTATAACATACTGGTACTCTAAACTGCTATAATATACTGGTACTCTAGACTGCTATAATATACTGGTACTCTTGACTGCTATAATATACTGGTACTCTAAACTGCTATAATATACTGGTACTCTAAACTGGTACTCTAGACTGCTATAATAGACTGGTGCACTAGACTGGTATAATATACTGGACACTAGACTGGTATAATATACTGGTACTCTAGACTGGTATAATATACTGGACACTAGACTGGTATACTAGACTGGTACTCTAGACTGCTATAATATACTGTACTCTAGACTGGTACACTAGACTGCTATACTATACTGGTACTCTAGACTGCTATAATATACTGTACTCTAGACTGGTACACTAGACTGCTATACTATACTGGTACTCTAGACTGCTATAATATACTGGCTCTAGACTGCTATAATATACTGGTACACTAGACTGGTACTCTAGACTACTATATTATACTGGTACACTAGACTGGTACACTAGACTGCTAAACTATACTGGTACTCTAGACTGCTATAATATACTGGTACTCTAGACTGCTATAATATACTGGTACTCTAGACTGCTATAATATACTGGTACTCTAGACTGCTATAATATACTGGTACTCTAGACTGCTATAATATACTGGTACTCTAGACTGCTATAATATACTGGTACTCTAGACTGCTATAATATACTGGTACTCTAGACTGCTATAATATACTGGTACTCTAGACTGCTATAATATACTGGTACTCTAGACTGCTATAATATACTGGTACTCTAGACTGCTATAATATACTGGTACTCTAGACTGCTATAATATACTGGTACTCTAGACTGCTATAATATACTGGTACTCTAGACTGCTATAATATACTGGTACTCTAGACTGCTATAATATACTGGTACTCTAGACTGCTATAATATACTGGTACTCTAGACTGCTATAATATACTGGTACTCTAGACTGCTATAATATACTGGTACTCTAGACTGCTATAATATACTGGTACTCTAGACTGCTATAATATACTGGTACTCTAGACTGCTATAATATACTGGTACTCTAGACTGCTATAATATACTGGTACTCTAGACTGGTATAATATACTGGTACTCTAGACTGCTATAATATACTGGTACACTAGACTGCTATAATATACTGGTACTCTAGACTGGTTTAATATACTGGTACTCTAGACTGCTATAATATACTGGTACTCTATACTGCTATAATATACTGGTACTTTAGACTGCTATAATATACTGGTACTCTAGACTGCTATAATATACTGGTACTCTAGACTAGTGATATACTGGTACTCTAGACTGCTATAATATACTGGTACTCTAGACTGCTATAATATACTGGTACTCACACATGTAAACAATTATTGATTTGCACTGAGGAATACCATGAACTTTAAAACTATATAGACAAAATATTTTTATAACAATCTTATTGTCATCGGCTTTCTATTTGCATATTAATGTTTAAATTGTGTTGTTATCCTCACAATTTTTTTCATTACTTTATATTGATTTGTTTATGACAGACTAATTTCTTATGCAGATCACTTTTGTGTGTAAAGTACATGTAGTATATAGGTGATAATTTGATGTTACCATATGACCATTTTCTACCTCTTATCAGAGCATGGCAGCCACTTAGTTTAGGCAAGTTGCCTGTTAATATTGCCCAAATAATAAAATTTTGAATTGCCTTTTGTTTTAAAAATGATTTTCCACGTTTTTTTGCAATTCTTTCAATATTGTTTAGCTCTGCATCAAAACATATAAGGATGTGCTCTTTTTGTATTAAGGTTAAAAATAACAGAAAACCAAAGATTGAAAGTGAAACATGTCATTTATTTAACATTTTACTTTGAACAACTTCTTCTTAATAACCAAAAGGCCTAGGGTGATGATATTTGGCCAGAAGCAAACTGGGATGAAGGGCTACAAAGTTTGTTAAAATTAATGACCTTCACCCATTTTCAAGGTCACAGGGGTCAAATATGTTTAAAACTTTAAATATCTTCTTCTCAATAACCAAACTGCCCAGGGAGATGATAATTGGCCAGTAGCATGCTTGGGTGAAGGGCTACCAAGTTTGTTCAAACGAATGACCTTCAATTATATTCAAGGTCAATTGTCTTAAAACACCTTTAAACAACTTCTTCTGAATAACCAAAATTGCCCAGGGTGATGATATTTGGCCAGTAGCATGCTGAGATGAAGGGCTACAAAGTTTGTTCAAATGAATGACTTTCTCCCATATTCAAGGTCACAGGGGTCAAATATGTTAAAAACTTTAAACAACTTCTTCTGAATAACCAAAATGCCCAGGGTGATGATATTTAGTCAGTAGCATACTAGGATCAAGGGCTACCAAGTTTGTGTAAATGTATGACCTTGAATCATATTCAAGGTCACAAGGAGCAAATATGTTCAAAATATAAAAAAATATAAAAAATAAAAAAAACTTGTTCTGAATAACCAAAAGGCTTTAGGATGTTGATATTTAGTCAGTAGCATGCTGGGATCAAGGACTTCTATGTTTGCTAAAGTGAATGACTTTGACTTATATTCAAGGTCACAGGGGTCAAATTTGTTTAAAATCTTTAAACATCCTCTTCTGAATAACCAATGGTCCCAGGATATTGATACTTTGCAAGTTGCATCCTGAGATGAAAGGCTATAAGATTTGTTCAACATAATGACTTTGTTCGACTTTCAATCACAGGGGTGAAATGTTTAAAAAAAAAANACCAGGTGAGCGATGCAGGCCCATTGGGCCTCTTGTTACTTATTGTACACACTTGTACAAAGGTTTCTGTTACACAAGATGAAACAAAATAATTAGACCCCATTTATACAAAGATGGGGATCAACTTGCGCCTCATTTATTTAACATATATAAATGATGGCATAAAAAGAAAACCCAAATAAAATGAAATATTGTACACTTGTATCAATTAAAAATGGACAATAATTTTCTATCAATTAAAAATGGAGGAAGGGGTGGGAGGTGGCTTAAGATAATATCAAACTACTAGCTGCCACTGAAACTTGTGTCGGAATTTTTTTCTGTAAACAAACTGCTCATGCCTGTTACATCCAAATATAATTGTGGATGCATGCCAGTACAAATTACTTCCCTTGTCCGTAACAGTAAAGCGAACTAAAACTGATCAGCGCTAAAAACCTTTATGTTAATAACATAAATTAGCCTTTACTGCTGGATTCTTGCTCTTTATTTGAAGTAACACATTTACCTTACAGCAGTCGTTGAACAGCCTCCTGTATCAGCCACGGTACCTGAGGTCCCTGTATCAGCCACGGTACCTGAGGTCCCTGTATCAGTCACAGTACCCGTTGTCCCTGACGATGAGTTAGCTTCACCACAACATGGCATAAAAGCACCGCCTCAAACCGCTGAGGGTGAGCAACACTCATCATATTCTCATTCTGGTTATTATAGATTGTGTCCTATTTTCAGCTCGCCTAGCCACAAAGACCACATGAGTTTATTCCATTATGCAGTGTTTGTCATCCTTCTGTCAACTTCCCCTTTAAATGCTACCAGTCCAGAAGTACCTAATAGATTTTGACTAGGTTTAGTCTGGAACAGTGTTGGGCAAAGGAGACTCAACGTTATACATTGTAAAATGGAGGTTGTGGTCTCTGTTCCTCCCATATGGACATCGATATTTTAACAAATTGTGATCTGGAACAGTTTTAGGCCAGGGGAGACTCCATGTTTTGTAAATGGAAGTTGTGCCCCCAATCCCCTCTTCATTTCAACACCACCAACATTTGCTTTGGGATTCAATCTATCCACTGTTGTCTTGGAAATAGTTGAGTTCTCAAAAGTTTAACCCTACAATGCTGAATAATGAAAAGATGCATAAATTTGGTCTACCATTACTGACTTTGGTCTACCATTACTGACTTTGGTCTACCATTACTATACTTTATAAGTATACTGTGACTATATATAAGTATACTGTGACTATATAAGTATACTGTGACTATATAATAAGTATACTGTGACTATA